GAGATTATACAAGCACCTGTAAACTATACATCATCACAAATGAAGTGTCTTAATTTTATACTGTAAGGATCTATACAATGTGAATTGAGCGATGAAGAACGTTTGTTCTGTACAGTATTTTACAGTATATACACAATGTTAATTGAGCAATTAAGAACGTTTCGCTCGAAAATCAACATTTTTTTAAAAAACTTGCCCACACTTCAAAGATCTGAAACAAGTTGTGAATTACCTCTAAGAATATTGATGAAGATCTGAATGAATGATAAAAAGTAAACAATAGATCCATTAACTCTGGTATAATTAATTGATATTAAGACTAAATATAGCCAACGATAAAACAGAAATAGAATTACAAGCTATTTTTACTATCAACCATCTATTTTTTAACAGTAGAGTCTGTTTAAATAACAGATCACAGGAAGCTACTACGATAAGCTAATATCAATTCCTTGTTAAGTTTTCTTTTAACGACTTCTGTCATAACTTAAATCAATTTTTTATATTTTCTTGTCTACAATTACTGAAATTTCAATATTCAAATGTTGGTTTCATACAATATTTTTGTCTCATTCTAAAAAATGTTTTTAGATTCGGATTTAAAACTAAATTTTAATTAGAAAATGAAATGAAGGCCTATTGATATTAAGTTCTGTATATTAATCATTTTCTTCCTGTTTTTAAAGACTTAAAAGAAGAGAAGCTTTTTGTATACAGAATGTTTATTATAAAATACTAAGATATATAGATATACTACTTCTAGTTTTATTACATACTACGTTTCAAAACACATACAGGTAACATTAATAACACAAGTTATATAGATATACTACTTCTAGGTTTATTACATACTATGTTTCGAAACACATACAGGTAACATTAATAACACAAGTTATATGGATATACTACTTCTAGGTTTATTACATACTACGTTTCAAAACACATACAGGTAACATTAATAACACAAGTTATATAGATATACTACTTCTAGGTTTATTACATACTACGTTTAGAAACACATACAGATAATATTAAAAACACAAGTTATATAGATATACTACTTCTAGTTTTATTACATACTACATTTAGAAACACATACAGGTAACATTAAAAACACAAGTTATATAGATATACTACTTCTAGTTTTATTACATACTACGTTTAGAAACACATACAGGTAATATTAAAAACACAAGTTATATAGATATACTACTTCTAGGTTTATTACATACTATGTTTCGAAACACATACAGGTAACATTAATAACACAAGTTATATAGATATACTACTTCTAGGTTTATTACATACTACGTTTAGAAACACATACAGGTAATATTAAAAACACAAGTTATATAGATATACTACTTCTAGTTTTATTACATACTACGTTTAGAAACACATACAGGTAATATTCATAACACAAGATATATAGATATACTACTTCTAGGTTTATTACATACTATGTTTCAAAACACATATGGGTAACATTATTAAGTATGTATGTGTTTCGAAGCGTAGTATGTAATAAATGCAGAAGTAGTATATCTATATATCTTAGTGTTTTATTGTAATCTTCCTACTTCTATAAGTCTTATATACAATAGAATGTTTATTGTATACAGATATATATATATATATATATATATATAAGATTTGCTTTCAGATGATTGTGATGAGTCTGTACCACTGTTTTTTGTTGTTTTTTTTAGTACTAACTGAACTAAATTTAACAGCACATATAATTCGAACTTTATGATCTAGACCCGTGCTTTTTATTGGAATTCTATTCTTGTAACACCCTAAACATACTATTCGTAACACCCTAACACTAACATAAACATACTATTCATAACACCCTAACACTAACATAAACGTACTATTCGTAACACCCTAACACTAACATAAACATACTATTCGGTTGTCAATTCCTTATCTTTAGTTTAGTTTTACCATCATTGTCAACAGTTTAGACCAATTTACAATCACAAGACAACTTTTCACTGATAATCAAGTGCTCATATATCAATTACAGATCAAGCCATTTAGAAATATTATAATACACTTGATATCAGGTGTTAATAATAAAATCTCATAAAAAGAATCTGAAGCAACCATCACAAATGCACGTTATGTGGAACTTCAAATTGATATTTAGTAGAGTATAGAGAGCAAAGGTCACAGGTCACAAAAGCTGGTAGATATGCGTACATGTGTTCATCAATAAGGATTCAGCACTGTGGTTCACATTCACGGTGGTGAATTTAACCAATCATTATCTTTCATTAATGAAATGAAATTGATGGGAGTTTTACATCCTACTTTTCTGCACCATGATATTTCATTAGAAAGGGGTTGCACCAGTAAATTAAAATTAGACCCAACTTTCGTTTCACTTTTTTTTATTAGTTTTTATTTTTAGTATAGCCACTTCACAGAAGGGTCTAACAACTGAAGTCTTGAATATTCGTCAAATTAACCTTTTGACCTTTTTGTACAGTAAAATACTCCTTTATCTGAGTCTGTTAAAAAATCATTAAATAGTTCTGAAACTTTACCTGTACATGACAAATCAGAATATTCACTTACCTTGTCTATGATTTTATCTTTGAATAAATCAAATTACAAAATTCACTTACCTCATATCTGGAACATTTCTAAAATAAAACTTTCATCAAATCATTCATATTTAGAATTTGTATTTGTAATCATTTTAGAGTTATTCCTTGTTTAGTTTTGATATGCATGAATTTGTATTTAAATTTGTATTTTGTTAATATTTAAGCTATACAGTAATGTATTGTTTATAAGACATACAGAAGTATGAAGATTACAGTAAAACACAAAGATAATATCTATATATCTTGTGTTATTAATGTTACCTGTATGTGTTTCTAAACGTAGTATATAATAAAACTAGAAGTAGTATATCTATATAACTTGTGTTATTAATGTTACCTGTATGTGTTTCGAAACGTAGTATGTAATAAACCTAGAAGTAGTATATCTATATAACTTGTGTTATTAATGTTACCTGTATGTGTTCCGAAACATAGTATGTAATAAATGCAGAAGTAGTATATCTATATATCTTAGTGTTTTACTATACAGTAACGGTTGTAAAAAAAATTTCATGTGTAATAGTATCATGTTTGTTATTTTTAAAATAAACGTTGTTCTGCTATTAAGAAAATTTAATTTAAATATAACTTCAGTAACGAAGTGAGAGTTATTTTTGTGTTGTAATCTTATTAAAGTACAGGAAAAGGCACTATGAATTTCTATAGTGAGCCTAAAGTGAAAGGGAGGTAACTCTATTTAAGAATTTGTAATAAAGTATTCATTGATATTTTGTGGTGTATCTAAAGAAATTGTTAAGCCTAAAATAGAGTTTTTAACCAGAATTGTTTAATGTTTGATAAGACAGTGATAAATGACAGTTATGTAATCTTAGTAAAGTTAACTGTGTATTGTCTGTGGTATAAGGGAGGTAACTCTATCTACGGTATTGTCAATACTTGGTTGTGTTTGTTGTTGTAATGTTGATACAAGGTGTGGTATTTAGATGACTTTGAAGATGTTCAAATGAGCTTTTATTTTGTAGCATTAACTGATTAGGGAGGCTAAAATCTCATCCTTCAGGCCAAGACGTATGGAAAGAATAGTAATTTCTGTACACATAAATTCCTCTGTACTCTGAGTTTCATATAATCCATGTGCATATAAACAATCTTGTATGGTAATTTGATTAAGTTTTTTTTAACATAAACATGTTTTTTGAATTGAAGTTTTAGCCTCCGATCAGTTCAACCAACATCAGACTAAATCATTTTCTAGGTTCACAGAAAATAGCAAACTTTATTACTTTCGTTTTTCAGAAATTTTACCATTTCTTAATCAAGAATTACAGAAAGATTACAGAAATAGGTGTAAATTTATTTAAGTTTTGAATGTACTTCTCAAATTCAAATCAAAAGTAAAGTACCATAAAATTCAACGCCACTTCTTAAATTGCCAGCATTAATTGCAATAGTATTCTATAAATAGAGGAAATTTACTACCTCATCTGGAGAAAGATGAAATTACAGTTGAAAATGTGTAATGGTTTTCTCATCAAACGAAAGATTTGGTTTTGCTTTTTCCAAAAATATCACAAAAATTAGAAAATAAATTGACTCTGAAATCAAGTCTAAAAATAAATCGCTACTCAAGTTTTCCAGATGAATTCAGAATAAAACATATCCAAAAATAGCATCATTTTAAAGCAGATATTACATTGACATTAGTTTGTCGAAACCAATACTATACTTAAAGATGGGCTCCATTTATGAAAATGACAATCTTATATGAATAGAAAGTAGAGGTGTTCTAATGACTTCGAAAAATACCAGTTTGTCTCACATGTCCATAATTAATTCATAATTAGCTAAATTAGAAGAGAATTACTAGCAGAATTTCAATGACTGATCAAAAAGTCTTTTTTGTTTATCCAGACTGTACATACATGGACATTTATGATTGGTTAAAACTCTTAATTATATGCAATAAGAACATAATGATATTATTAAGAATACATGATAATTCATTAGAAACACCAATTAATCAAATAGTTTACTTAATTTGACACTAAAAAATAAGGAAACCCATGTTTAAGTCCAATTTTGAATTTAACCTATGATCGAATAACGAATAAAAATGATATTTATCTATTTTGAGGTTTCTCTTTTTTAAGTTTTTTTTCTTCACATTTTTTCATAAATTTTTATGCTGAATCATAGAATAAATTCATCTCTGAATTTTTCATTCTTCTGATAAATTGTATGATTACTATGATCAAATTTAGACTTGTCATCTTTAAATGAAGTAAACTTTCAGGTTGAAAGAATTAAAAAAGAGTTATAAGGTAATCTCATCAGAATTTTGTTTTCATCAGTGAACCTAGAAAATAATTGAGCTTGGTAGAAAATATTATAAATATAATCCCAACTTACAGGTAACTTGACGGCTGATAGAGGGTTAATGATGGTTTTCTTGGTGAGTTTTGTTGGTTCCAGATACGTTGGTGATTGTTTCTCTATTTTACCGTGACTCAGTTTACGTACTGGATTAGTCAGCCATTTTCTACAAAAAAGACACAGAATTAGAATCTATTCAGGGACAGAAATATTGCCTTACCTCTTGTGTTTAAAGTCGAAAATGAAATGAATAGAATAAATTTTCTTGGTATATTTTGAATTATCTATCTCTTGGTCAAAAGCGGAGATAAAACTAAACATATTCAAGATATTTGGAAGAAACGGTTGACAAATCTTTTTTTTTTTTTAAAGTTATAACCAAATTACATTGATAAAACAAGGATTCAGCCTCATTACTCCTATTTATTTAGTAACATAGTAAGTGGGGTCCAAAATATGACTGTTACCAAAATATGATTTTAACTTATATTCTAGACAGCATTCAATAGACCTCATTCTAGCCTCGTTTTTGAGATACAGAAATCGAGGTTCATAACGCAAACTTCGTCATCCATTGATAAGATAGCGACGTCATATGAATGAAGAACCTATGTGACGACTCTGAACATCCAATCAACAGCGAGAAAATGGGCTTAAAACTGTCATTTCTCAGAAATGTGATGGTAAAATTCATCTGAAAGTTTAAGACGTCAAAGTGGCGATTATATTGCAGTGACACCACCCTTGCGTTATGAGCCTCAATCTGGATTCAATATGGCGAACACGTGAATAGGGTCAATGTTTGAAGGTTTGAAAGACATTTTGAGATATTAAAGATGATGAAACCACACATAAACGGAAATATTTTTACCTGAAACTACTGCGTCGCTTGGTAACAGGTGAGGAAGCTCCTGGCATTCCATCCATAGATTCTACAAATAATAATAATTTATATATTAAGATGATTATGACGAAGACAATTCCAACTGAAAACTAGTCAACCTTTTCTGCTTCTAACAGCTACAACAAAAGGCGCGCTAATCCAAGATTACGAGACAAAATGTCATTTTCCATTTTGTAATTTTCATGTTTCTCTTATGTGCTCTTTTGTCTCTGACCTAAACCATTCTTCCCTTCTCTCCATCTAATGTGATATATGATAGGCCTATAACAAATTCCATGAGGAATTATTGAAGCTATGTATATTATAATAGAGACAAGATGACTCACCATCCAGATCCATGCTGGTACGACAACCAGGACCTTTAAGTATTGGTATAGGTTTGAGTATAGCGATGGGAACCAAGCCTTGGTGTGATTCACATCCATCTTGTTCTATGGTTCGGACCAGACACCAGTCTAGCTGACCTGGAGTTGGATCAATCACTTCTACTGGTTGACCTTTGTGAACAGTCAGTTCCGAGTTGGCACAGGCGGCAAAATCTTCCAGCACACTTGTTACATCACTTCCTCCCTGCAAAACATCAAAGAAAAAATTAATCAAAATTTTGAATTATTCAAATTCTGAAATGAATAAAACATCTGAAAAAAGGTTCTTCTCCTGGGTTTTATTGTACATAACTTCGCAACATATTCACATAGGAGATACAAAGTCTTCTTGATTGTAGAACCTCAATATATATATGTTTTGGGGTGTCTGTCTGAAATGTTTAGGCTGAGCAAACAAAATATAAAAAAAAGCAATATCTGTGAAAATGGATTTTAGAGAAAAATGATATCGGATAGGTCTGAAAAAATGCCAAGTTGTTTAACATGTTAAGATGTAATTTTGTGAAAAGATGTCTCATATCAATGTAATTATGACTTCAAAAAATTATATCTAGACAAGGAAATCCCCAATTCTTACTTTATAAATAATACTGCCATCCTGAATAATTTAGCAAAATATACCTTTTTATCTTTCAAAAAGAGAAAGTTATTTTTTACTAACAAAGGCTAAATTAGGCCAGTTACTATATTATGTAAATGTTTATGATTTGTATAATGGGCCTGTGGCCTCTTTATTATTGAATAAAACTATCACAATAATCCTGAAGTAAAAAGGTTATCGATGTATTAAAGTGTATTAAAGTATGTTACATGTATGTTACATGTTTTAAAGTATGTTACATGTTTTAAAGTATGTTACATGTTTTAAAGTATGTTACATGTATTAAAGTATGTTACATGTTTTAAAGTATGTTACATGTATTAAAGTATGTTACATGTATTAAAGTATGTTACATGTTTTAAACTATGTTACATGTATTAAAGTATGTTACATGTATTAAAGTATGTTACATGTATTAAAGTATGTTACATGTATTAAAGTATGTTACATGTATTAAAGTATATTACATGTATTAAAGTATGTTACATGTATTAAAGTATGTTACATGTATTAAAGTATGTTACATGTTTTAAAGTATGTTACATGTTTTAAAGTATGTTACATGTATTTAAGTATGTTACATGTTTCAAAGTATGTTACATGTATTAAAGTTTATTACATGTATTAAAGTATGTTACATGTATTAAAGTATGTTACATGTTTCAAAGTATGTTACATGTTTTAAAGTATATTAAAGAATGTTACATGTATTAAAGTATGTTACATGTTTTAAAGTATATTACATGTATGTTACATGTATTAAAGTATGTTACATGTATTAAAGTATGTTACATGTTTTAAACATGCTGTGAGTGAAGAAGTTTTCAGATGTTTTAAAGTAGAAATGAACAATATATTTATGAAAATAGTTAACTGAATTTTAAAATGATATTTTTGTATGTAATATAACATTTTCTAGGACATTTTGTCTACAGTATATCTTTCCCAATAAAACTAACAAAAGCAACTATTTGTTCATCTTATTGAAAGATTTTCATAGTATTTAATAATCATAAATCTACTCCATTTTTCATTTTGTATGGGATTACTGAAAATTTGAAAGTTTGTGTGACTTGTACACATGTATGTCTACAGCATTTATATTTCGGGGAGAATTTCCACATTTCCAACAGTCTGAAATATCAGGAACTATGTTAAGGGTAAATTTACTATTTCACTATATTCCAGTAGGAATGTGGTCAGACAAAGAGACCGCAGTAAGTTGAAAGCATATGACACCCAATAATACAGAAAGAAAAAACATGTAAATCAAGTAATTAATTCTGAATTTATTTAACAAGCCAAAATAAACAACACACCACCAGTTTTCTCTACGGTCAAATTTCTAATTCAAATTATCAGCTAATAATCTCCAACCCAAACTCTCATATTTATAAACAACTAATGAAAATAGCCTCCAATCTGAATGTTTATTCACGCTATCACCTCCATCGTGAAATACGAAATCATTCCCGGCATCAATTAAAATAAACAATCTCTCCGATTATCTTAATTCTTATCTAGATTTAGGCACCCAGTTGCAATCTTTTGGCAATTAACATTTCTTTCTGATATTTAATGCAGTTTATTTTGTTTTAACAAATTTACTGGCATTAATCCTGACAAGTTTCAGATACAGGCAGATCAACTTGGCTATTAAATGCTTATACAAAAATTCATACTTGTGTTAGATGGCTATGATAAAATAGTCTCATAAAAGCACTGGCCAAGGTCACAAAGTAAAGATTTATGATAAAACAAGGTGCAAGTTAAAGGTTAAGATAATTAGATGTGTTAATTATGGATGTCTTTGTAATCTTGATGGCAAACATCTTTACCAACATAAACACCCTTGCTGTTATTGAAACAACAAGCATCAACTCTACAATAGCTTTTACAAATGATAAGATTCATTTCAATGTCTGACCCCAACCCTTGACAAAATCAGATACTAGAAACTTGCATTGTCATCCATTCTGTTATTGAACCAACAAGCATCAATGCTAAGTACAATAGCAGCCTTTCCAATGACAGACCCTGACCCTTGCAAGATCAGACACTGACAGAAGATTGGTTGGGTGTTGGGATTAGTAACAGTGCAGCAATAGCTCATCCAAGTGACAATATGCCTTTTCAATGATACCCGAAAGATTAAACACTGAAAGCAGATTGGTTTGAGTGTTAGCTTGTTTTCTATTGATGCCACACATTCTGTTAATGAAAAAAGTATCAGTTCTACAATAGCTCATCCAAATGACAATCTGCCTTTTCAATACCCCAACCCTTGCAAGATCAGACACTGAAAGCAGATTGGTTTGAGTGTTAGCTTGTTTTCTATTGATGCCACACATTCTGTTAATGAAAAAAGTATCAGTTCTACAACAGCTCATCCAAATGACAATCTGCCTTTTCAATACCCCAACCCTTGCAAGATCAGACACTGAAAGCAGATTGGTTTGAGTGTTAGCTTGTTTTCTAGCGACGCCCCCCCATTCTGTTAATGAAACAATAAATGTCAGTGTTAGTAATATAATTTATGTATAGTCTGTAATATGTAAGATAATTAAATTATTCTGTGATAAGTGATACCAGAGTTATAAATTAAATATATTTCAGAATAAATACAAACATTACATTATTCTATTTATTATGATTTTAACTCTACAAAATATCACTTTTTAAGAAAAACTGAGGATGAATAACCAAAGTTGTTATCCTGGTTAAAAATTAGTGTTTCTATCTTCTTCAATTATTTTCCCTTTTGATGCCTAATTTTTCTTTAATCTTTGCTTTTAGATTAATTCTTAAAAGAATAAAATCTTCTAATCATTTATTTAATGTAAATGAGCTCTATTAAATAGCTTATTTGATAAAAGTTAATTCAAATTTTCATTCTGAAAATGAGGTAACTGATTTGCAAAAAATTTGAAAAGAATGGAGTTTTAAGTCCTACTTTTCTGCACCATGTGGACTAATGAAGACGGGCAACACCATCCAGGGTGCGATGAGGGAAATTACGCAGGACAGCAGCATTAGCCTGCTCTTTTTCGATTTCCAACTGTCGAGGGATCTTTAACTTGCACAGCCTGTAGCACACGGGGCCTATTGTCAGATCCGAACGACTAGAAGCTTTTTCCATGTCAGCCCCTCTTACCTGCATCACTGACAGGGGGAAAGCGGGTTGAAAAATCCAAGGGTATTATCTCGACCTATGCCGGGATTGAACCCTGGACCTTCAGGTTAGCGAGCAAACGTCTAACTCACTGAGCCACCGCGGCTCCCTGTATTGAATATAGAAAACTATCAAGAAGGCTAGTTTGGACTAGGATGGGGATTAGATTCCAATTTGACAATGTTCTCATCATCTATTGTTAAATAATTTGACAAAGAATCGATCCCTGATGTTATACTAAAACCATTCTTTAAAAACAACATTGACTAGAGGCTTCTGATGTAGTCTCTATAGGTTTGGTTGAGACCCCTTGGATTGGTTATTACGGGCAAGAAATATCACTATCACAAATTAAGTAATTGCTACTTTAAATGAATATATTAATCTTGTAAGATGTCTGATGAATGTATGGCAATTAATCTGGTAATTCAAGGTCGGTGGGTCCGTCTGTTGGTTGGTAGGCAGGTCATGATGATCTTACTCCTATCAGTCTAATGACTTTCTACATTTACTGAAAAAATATGAGACAAGATGAGATGAGACATGTTATTGTCATCTGAACTATTTATATGTACATTTTTCTCAAAATAAAAACGAAATGAATGGAGTTTTATGTCCTTTTTCTAATGACCTTGTACATTAACTGAAAAAAATGATACTAGACAAGATGAGACACATTATTGTCATCTAAATTATTCATTTCTACATTTTGCTCTAAATGAAAACGAAATGAATGGAGTTTTCTGTCTTCTTCTACTTTGCTTAAGAGAGGAGTAGAAGAAGTAATCATAGGGGTACTGACAATGGACTCTTCATCAGATCCAAAACTATTCTAAATTTCTACAGTGTTTCACTCTGAATGACAAACCATTAAGCCATGAATAGATGGGGTATGGTAGAAAATAGAACAAGTGAACACACGAGGTACAGATTAAGCCACGAATAGATGAGTTATGATGTATGGTGCGGAATAATCGATACAAACGAAAATAGAAGAAATGAACACACAGGGTACTTGTCTGGACACAGTGAGGACATGTTTCTATTCTATTATTTTCTACTGTATTGAACATCGCACATTGTTTATTGCCACCTTAACTCACTTGAAAAGTTCAGTAGCTCTTACAAATGTTTTTTTCGGATTTCAGGTTCCGTTTTGCAGTTCGGATCATCAGTAGGGCTACTTGGTTTGTTTATTGAGAACCATTCTTCCACTCTTGTTTTTCAGTGCCAATCACAATTGGACTCTAATTTTTTAACTTGGATTCAACTTTGCCAGCCAAATAATTATAAATACATACCCAAAACTTTAACATCAGTTCAGGTGTGTATGTTTTTTTATTTCATTTAGTTTTCAGACTGTTAAAGGAAAGTCTCACACACTTGTTTTTTTACGATTCCTGACCTTGAC